ATAGACAAAAGTGAGGGAATTCAGCTTCAGGGCAGACAAGAAAGAGTGATTTTAGCTGGCCTGTAGGTACAAATGAGTGAATTGAGCTAGTCTGATCATGCAAGTGAGGGAAATTAACCCGTGAGGCTGTGTACAATTAATGTCAAAGGCTGTGCTGCAGTGCGTAAATAATGTGAGAAAGTGTCAAATGAGGCAATAAAGTGTGGGAAAAATCCAGCTGTTGTCATAAATGAGGTGAGAAAATTAATAAACTGTGGGAAAAGTAATTCAATCAAGACTGTGCAGCCTGCAAAGGCAGTGCATGAGGTGACAAATAATACCAAACTAATTTATGTGGTGGAGATAAAGAGGTGTGGGAAATTTTGTGTATACTGTGAGCTGTGTATAAGCATAACTGAGAGGTGATTTGAGGGTTGTGACATGTGCTTGACTGGGTATTGGCTTGTGATATGCGTCCGTAGGGGTGTAACTTCCAATCCGTGAGTGTTCCAATGATGCGTCCAGTGGTGACCTAGGCTGAAATTGTCCGTAGAATCCATTCCTGAAGTTGTATTGGTTGATTTCTGGCTGGATGTATGAGAAAAAATGTATATATAGGAAAAACTTTGAATTTTTTACATATTTAATTACCACATTGTGTAAAGAAGAGGGTTCAAGAGCCCACATTTCTCCTCCACAGCATCAATCCATTCCTCTGAACTTTTCCCTTTTGGCTTGAAAGTGAAAGAGAAACAGGCTTGGATAATGAAATCGGTATTGATTGGATGTTTACCAGATTTTGGTTGACTTGTTTTTCACTGAGGCACATGGTAAACTGCTCAAGATCTTCCGCTTTCCCAAGAAACAGACCTGGATGATGGAAAAGTATGTGCAAACTGTCAGAAGGTTAGGAGTCTAGGGGCAGCCAACAAATGCCTGGTCTTACCCTCTGCATTGATTTCTCCTAGGTCAGAAATGTCATCTTTGCAATCAGGCTCTTGCATACAATCTTTGCCCTTGCAAGTAGCATTTGAGGGCCTGGCTGCATTGTTTAGACAATTGCTTGTCTGTTTAGGAGAAGCATTGCTTTTCTGCTTTTGATATCTGGTGGGATAGGTATGTTTGGAAGACAAGCCCATGGCTGCTAATTGTAATAGGGTAGGCTGCAGTCTAAGAGGAGTCTGACTAGATGAGAATGTTTGGTGAAAAAGTGATCTAGAATGAGAACGATAAACGTTGAGAGACTGGGGATAGCTCCTGCAACCAAAGTCAAGTACTTTTATACTTGCCATAAAAGAAACAACCCCACTGAAATATGGAATAGGATGGTGGAATGAATAGCCATTCAGCCGGCTAGGAAAAGAGAAATGGAAGCGGAATTGTGTTTGGCTCCCAACTCCCGTACTAGCCCCCATCTGTACATGGCTCAACAAGAACTTGGCTTAATCCCAGGGCTTGCTGTGCCAAGCAAGGTTATGTGTTCTTCAATACTAGGTCTTTTCATTTGGTTCCAATTGGGTTCATATGGAAGATACGGCATTGTAACAGCTCCATCTTCAGTTGCCAACACATCTGTTCATGATTCCTGGGCATTGCCTCCATTGAACTAGCAGAGGCAAAGCCACTCTATGCTGACCTCCGCCTGATGGTTGTGAGCCTTCTTCTGGATCCTCAAAAATCCACTGCCTGTCCATGAATAATTGAATGTTTTAGTGGGGATCTGAATGCTGAGAGGCACTGCCAAAGCTCTAGATTACCAGGAATTTAAAGAATCCAAGCTATCAATATCTGGCATGCAATCCAGTTGAAGCTTGGAACAATCAAAGGCTGAGGGTGGTTGTCAGAATGAGATTGTGGGTCCAAACAATCCTCATGAGGAGGGTGAATAAGCTCGCAATGGTTGCTCAGCACTGAATTGTGTGTGGAACTTAGGAGTATGGTCAAAAAGGGAATTATGAGGAGAAGGCCTCACAGCCCATCTCCAAACCCAAGTCATCAATAAGTGTTTGAATGTAGGTTTCTGATGCAAAAAGATAAGTAGGTGCAATATTGATATTGCGTTCTTCGGAGTTGGAAGGATAGAGGGAGGCCATTGAGGTGATTTGAACAAATCATCACAGTCTCAATTGGTGGTAGAGTGGTCTCACAAGCATGGGAACCTCTCCAAAAATGGCACAAAGAAAGCAACTAGAATCTAACCTTGGCTACAAATTGTACAGGCAGCTGGGACCTAGAAGTTATAAGTTCTCTTTTCCTTGGGAAACATGGCAAAGACAATCAATCTCACCTTCTTTCATTTCAACTAACAGAGACCAGGATCAGTGGAAGGAAGACAATATTGTCATCAGCGCAGGCAGCTGGATCAAAGTGGGACCAGGTGGGTATTGGGCCGCTGACAATATTTATTGAAGAATTCATCTGTACCTTCTATCAAACAGTAAGGAAGTCCAATTCCTTTGGTGTTGTCCTGCCTAGCATCAGCAGCAAAGTTGATAGAAGGATCAAAGAGTCAGTGAAGGAGGCAGTTGATGACGCTGCAATTGGTTCAAGACAATGAGGGTATCTTTTCCTCTACACTGCAGCTGCAAGGCTTGCAAGGCTCCACACAGATTCTGCACTATCTGCAGCAGCCTCATCCCTCCAGCAAGGAAAGCTCAGACCTGGGGGAAACAATGTTGGGAGGCTCAGCACATAATATCAAGGTCAGACTGATTTTTCCCCTTCAGCATGCATGTTTATTGCGTGTGATGGGTTTGATTGGTGTATGGTTCTCCAATTATGTAGCTGGTCAGTGAAGAGCAGTTCAGGGGTTTCAAAGGAAAATGAGAGAATCTGACTTTCTCCAAATATAGAGGTGTACCTTCACAAATGTATGACATGTATGAGTGAGCTGGACAACAGGAAGATGATGGTGACAAATGGAAATAAATGGGCAGAGTCATATTTGTGATATTCTTTAGGCTTGTGAAATTTGGGAAATGTTTCCAAGTGTTGCAAGTGGAATCACAAGTCCTGTGCAAAAGAGGTGATTGAAATCAAACCAGGCTATTTCAGATAACTGTTCACAACACAGGAATCATTACAGCTACTAGAAAGATGAATGTGAGGAAGACAAAAGACAAAAGGACTCCTCAAAGGAAGAGGGGAGTGGAAGGCCCTTTTGACAAGTGGAAATTGTCACAATATGTAGATGGCAGTCTTTGGGATATCCCCTTGTGAACTGACATGTCCCCTGCATCTCATCCCACATTGAAAGCAAAATATTGAATGTTGAGAAGTGTCTACATAAAATGGGCCACACATCAGCTGTCCACACAGTTTGTCAAGACATACATATTTTGGCTGTTTTACTAGTCCAAATGTAGTCAAACAGCTCTCCCAATCTGAAACTGCACCATTCCATGTTGTCCCTGAGAATCCAATTGTATTTTGCCCTATATAATTTTGCACAGAGACACCCAGACTGTATTTCTGGGCACCTTGCCACTCCATACTATTTGACAAGAACTGATGTTTTTATATATATTGGGGTGGGGGCTGGATGGAACACACGGGTGAGCTCAAGACTTCAGTTAAAGATAAAGCTTATAGGGCATTTGTTTTAAGAAGTGCTTACTACAGAAGCTCAGGGAGGACACACATTGGCTCATCACATTTTTCAATTTACAAATGTTCAGATACTGTGCTGCAGTTGGTCTGTATTCATATGTAATTCTAAAACATTCCATGTTTGATAGCTCCCATTCTCATCTGTCATGTTTCCAGCTACAAAAGCACAGACATGTTAACGAAATTTGAATCTGATTGTCTTTGGGTCATTGCACCGGGTTTGAAATACCAAATCCAAAATAACAAAACTATATAGAGATTGCT